CAAAATTTTCAGTTCAAGGCATTTATACAAATAAAATCATAGAAATACAATGATTTTATGTTTTATTAAAGCAAATTCATAAGGAGTACATAATTTGACCCGGATATATACAAGAATTGGTAGAACTCCCAGTTATCCATTGGAAACAAGTCATAGCAATAGAAACCAATTGAAGGTCCGGACAGTCGCTCAATAAATGCATGGATTTTGAGTTTATATTTTGTAGGAATTTTAGGGGTCTTTGCCTGATATTCATATACTAGTGCTTGAGGTTTATGAGCAGTTTTTGTGATCCAGGTGCTCATTATATTCATGAATACAGTGGAGACAAAACATACAAATACGAGAAATGAAAAGAATATTCTGGTGTATAGTTTAGTGTCCTTGTGGTGCATGGCGTACAGGCATATTAGGAATCCCGGTGTTGTTATATAATATATAATAAATGTGATCCAGCTAAAAAACGTGTTAAACTCTTTGGTTAATTTAATGTAGACATTATGCTCACGAATAGCTCGCATAAGCAGGGTATTATCCATCAAGTTAATACTAGTTTGTATTGATGTATTGATTTCAGTGAACTTGTATTTGATATACAGTGAGACTATGAACCACATGCTAAACCCACACCAGAGTATACTGAATGATTGCAAGAGCATTATTTGCATGATAAATGAACCTAGTATCAAACTAATTATAGGTATATTTGATTGTGGGTCCATTAGTACTAATACAGTACCGCAAGCAACTAATAACGTGGTCACAAATAGTGATAATAGTATTAATTGATTCAAGAAATACTTAACAAGCACATTAACCTTGCTTGTCCATCGTTTCAAATTTGTAGCTCTCAATGGGTATGAATTGAGTTTGTTTTTAATGATATATAGCTGTGAAAAGAGGGGAAAGGTATGCGTCAGCTCCTGGTATATACAGACACATCCGATACACGATATTCCCAATGAAAAAGCACTGACTATTAAATCAGTGAGCACTGGGTTAGCCAACTCCAGGGTCCAGTCGCTAACCAAGTTATGAAACCATCGCTATTAACAAAAATTATGAATAAATAACTTTTATTCGTATAAATGTAATAATAATAATGAAGTAAAACGCATCTAGATTATTTGTTACCTTGTTAATACGCGCTGATAGTGCAAATCTGACGCAGTTTAGCAAGACAATTACTCTGGTTAATATGACAATAACTAAGCGTTTCTTAATTAAATACTCTGAAAATTGAGATCAAAATTGTTAATAATTGTTAAGAAAACATTTATATTAAAATAAGTTTATGTAACATACCTGACATATACTCGTCAATGTTTCTATGTATTACAACATAATAGTAACAGGCTATTTGGACAACTCTATCTATACTATCACCAACCCGCTTATAAGTGGGTTTTAGGTTGCCTAACTCCTTGGAAAATTGTTTTGTAGCCATTTTAATTTAGAATATTATTATTTTCAAATTGAAATTAAAATTAAAATACTTCACAACAAGTTTTATTTTAAAAATAAAATATGTAGTGCAGTAGAATACTTAGAAAATCATATAATTTATTATAATTTTTACTTATATTCTAAATACAATTTTTATTTGAAAATAAATTAAAGATCTTATATATATATGAATTAAACGTACTGTCACATTTCTATTATAATGCAATTATCGATTAATACATTCTATAATATATAATTTTAGATTATAGTAGAGTAATAAAACACATTATATAGTTATAATAGTATTAAGTGTAATAATTTATACGATAAAAAATATTGGACTTTATAATTTAATGCATATATTGCATGCAAATCTATCATATAAATAACATTTACCTTAATGTCATAATTGATAAATGATTTAAAGTATAACTTTTAGCTAGCTCGTAAATCATAGAATAAGAATGCTGTCACTTTTATTATTATAATGCAACTATTCATGAATACAAATTTCATAAAACCTAATTTTAAATTATAATAATAAAACTCAATACACAATTATAATGATATTAAGTGCAATAAGTCATACTATATAATTTACAAGATTTGTTTTAATTAATGTTTGTTTGCTATCATTTTAAAAATATAACTTTAATGTCATACTAGATAAATGATATCAAGTAAAATTATCTAAATTAATAAATCTAAAGTAAGATTATTTTTCAATATAAGTTTTTAATGATATTCATATTAATACATTAATGATGCAATGGTATTATATAATTATTATAAAATTTGTTGTAATAAAAATTTCAATTTTTTAGTTAATCAGTAACATTGATGCTAATAATTATATATTTTAAAATTATATATTTAATTAATATACAAGAAAATATAGGCAATATGCTTTGATTTTTAGTTAAATGTACTTAGGTTTATTTTGAAACTAGTTCAAATTTTTAAAATTAATTTTCTTGTTAACCTGAAAAAACCTACGACTAAATACTAGTAATTTATTTCATTGATTAATAATTATATTGCATTATTTATAATGTATTATATTATTAATGACTCTATTGTAATTAAAATAATATACTGTATTTAGGTATAATACATTATGTATTTTATCTATACTAGTCATCTAATTAATTGTTTCTCACCAAATAAATTGCAAAATCTATTATAAATATAAGATTTTAATCATTTGAATTTGTTTTAAACTACAGTAATCACAAATATGTATTATAATTGTCAAGAATTATTAGAAATTATACATTAAACAAAACAAATTAATAACTATCACAATAATTGGAAAAAATTATGTTACCGTATATAGGTTTAAGGTTATAAAATTAATAATTAAATAAATAAATTTTTATAAAAATTGTTTTAATTACTTTGTAATTTAAAAAAAATATGCACGTATTATTTAAATTGTAACATATCTGATATTGATATTTTAACAAACACATATTTTTTATTATAGTAATTATATTAAACACTGAGATTATTGGCAATCTTATAATTTTGACATGTTAGCATTAAACATTTGTGATTTAAATATAATGAGATAAAATTATTTATTTTACTTATCACGAATATTTCAATATTCATGGGAAATCACATAAATGAGCTTCATTTTTAAAACTAATAATCAGTTGTTTTATTTACCGACTTAATGTGACAGCACAATAATTTGCAAATATTAACTTTACTAAAAATTAGACAATTTAACAGACCATTAAGTAGTGGATTAATAATAATAATTGATAAAAATGTTTCATTAAATTCTCATAGCTATTAAAAATTTGAATTTGATAAAGTTTCGTCATCAATAACTAACTGACATCAACGATAATCATTGTTAATATTTATATTAATATAAAATTATTTGTAAAAATTAAAAACTAATATGCTCAACAATTATATGAATTAATATTTTTAGTTTTAAATTATTAATTTTAATAAATTATATTTATTAATTAACATACCTTTATATAAACTAGCAGCCTTTTTCTTTTTGAACTTTTTCAAAATCCTTAATATTTTGAAGTATATGTTATTGTGTCCAATAAATAATCAACGCCTATGACTATTAAGAAAATATAAAGCTATGATGCGTGAGAATTTTTATTATCAAGCTCAAATATTTATTGCACATTTCAGAGGTAAAACATAATAATATATGGGGTTTCAGATAAATATAAGCGAAATGCTAATCAAATATTTCATTATTTATTACATAGAAAAAAGTATAAAAGTGATTGTATTACTATAATTTCTATCAATTTTAATAAGTATATATAAAAAATAAAGTACCGTGCATAGCTATCTTAACAGAAAAAATGTGTTGTACAATTTATTTAGTGCTAATTATTCTAACCTCAATGAATGTACTGGGTAATGCGTTAAAATCAGACCCCAAATTAATAACCTCAGAGTTAAATCCTGACATTAGCCAGGTGAGACAAACACAATTTGAGTGCCAGTTTGAATTGGATTCGAGTGACGTATTCCTGCACCTTTATGTTGAAAAATATGTTAATCTGACGTATGTTAAAATATACCAGCTCAATTCAGGTAACTACTATATTCATAAATTTATGTTGGTAACTATTATATTTATGGTATTTATAAGTTGGAGGATATCCCATTGCGTACGATGTTCCTGGTGAAATTCAAAAAGAGGATATCGTAATGGACCTTGATAAAAACACGTTTAAATTTGTTATTAAAAATGCTTGGAGGGTTGAGGGTTCATATAGATGCACAGTCGAAACAGATAATGATGGCATGGTGAATACACATTTTTCACCACAAACAATTGTTAAAACAGGGCAAGGTAAACAAGGTAAGAATGCAGGTTAATGTACATTGGAAAAATGAATATTCTTAAATATCAATTGTATCGCATTTATTTTTCTTACTACATTACTATCTTTATGATCAGATTCACATTTGGGTAGACATAAATAAAAATATGCTAGACAGTATTTACTGTATATTAAAAATTTTATTATAATTTTTATAATGAATGTACACAGTCATTAACGTTTTATAAACAGTAAGTGCTATTTAGCAAAAATCTTCAATTTGAATTATGTTAAGACTTTTATTACTGTACTATAAGAATAAGCAATATTTTTTAACGCGACTAAAAACATGGACAATGTTAGCTATGTAATTTATGTAGTATGCCCACAGATTTACTTATTGATAGTATAATTGAACAAATTCATTTGTAGACACTTCAATGGGCAGCTAATATTAACTGTTCACAAATAAATAAACCTTTTCCATTGCACAACTTAAGCACGAGCATTATCCTATTACTAGTTAAAATTAATTTGCGTTTGAGCATAAACAATCCTACAAAAATGGTTCAACATAAAACTAATTTTATTATTTAATTATCTATAAAAAATTAGTTGCCATTGATTTCCAAATTGGTGTAATAGGCCAAAAAGATGAATTTAAATACGGCGATACTTTGGACGTTTACCTGCATTATGGATTGCCATATGACAGTGTGTTTACCAAGGTGGAGTTCTTAAAGGATGACCGAATTTATTTTATTTACTTCCGATATGATTATGGTAAAATACAGTACCAATATATATGTCATAGAAAATAACTATTTAATTGAATAAAAATATAATAAATAGTTCAACTACTTGATGATGCTAAAGATAAAGGCGTTACAAAGGACCAAGTTTCCTATATTAATCACAATAAGCAGGCTCAATTAATCACATTATCTATTAAGAGAGCTGTTATGGAAACTGCGGGAAAATTCACGGTACGATTTTATTACAAAGATAACCACGACGGTCCAGAAATGGTTTTAACATCAAAGGAAAATATATTGAAATATGCGAGCGTTACAGTAACTACCCCGGTACCATCACCCATACGTAAAAAGTTACAATGCACCTGTACTGAGTTATAAATGTTTTAATGAACTATGCTATCAGATTTTAACTAATTACAATGATGCTATGTATAATAAATGTTTATTTCTAATATAATATTTTATTGTAACATATAAAATTTTAAACTTGAAATATTCATTTAATAAATTAGTATAATTTGAGAATGTATAAGTTTTACACGCAACCTTGTTCATATGAACAATTAAAAACAGATTTTTATTTACTTTCAACATTATATAAACGGGATTTACTTTAGGGAGAGCTAGTTAACTATTTAATTATTATTAAATATTAATTTATCATTAATTTTTTATAAAGTATTATAATGAGTTAAATGAGTTAATAATTTACTAATTGTAACTGTAATCACATATTAATAGCTCTCTCTCTCTCCCGATTTCTCTTAATCTTGTGGTCCTGAATGGGAGAGAGAGAGAGAGAGAGAGAGAGAGCTATTAATATGTGAATACAATTATAATTAGCAAATTATTAATTTATTTAGTTAAAGCACACATAAATATGTTAGTATATAATTAATAATAATTTAATATTTAATTATAATTAAATTGATAACTCAGTTTTCTCTCTTTCACCGGGAAACCCAATATAAACTTCAACGCAATGTATTCAAAAATATATAGTTAGTTTGTATATATAATAGTTTAGTTAGTTTTTGTTGTATGTAGTTTTCAAAACGACTTGTTATTAAACTTTATAAAATTAAAATATTTCTTATTTTAATTAGCGTAACTATTCAAATTTTATCAAATAATATTATTGTAGACTATCGTTTTAATATTTTTAAATATTTTTAGATAATACGTAGATAACTTTAAACATTAAACATTAAGATCAAAAATTAAAATTTATTGTTTAAACTTAAAATATAACTTATTTATTTTATACATCATTAAATATAAGTTTTATAATTGTTTGTAAATAATTAATTCACATACAAATTTAATAATCGATATAAATAAACTTATAATTAAGCATATCATTGAGTTTCTATAAAATTCATAAATATTAATCGGAAAATTTTTGTTATTATTATCTGGATACTTAGAATTTCCTTTATAAGCATTTCTCATTTTTAAAATATTTGTTTGTAATTCTTTGTATTTATATAATCCGTTTTCTAGGACCACATTTAACCTAATAATTTAAAGTTACAATTTTAGAAATAATTAAATGTTAAAATTATGGGGTCACGCAGTAAGTATGTATATAATATATGCCATACATTAACAAAATTTTAATCTACAGCAATTACTAATGTTAAAGGTATTAGTAACTGGGCTCTGTAGCCCATGAATGTTAATCTATGATATATGCAATATAAGTTAGATAGTTGGTATGCTGTTTTAATATCTTGATATCAAAAAATAATATATTTGTTACATACTTATTGGATGACCTCATAACATAATTATTTACATTTTAGTTAATTTTTTAGCGTATGGATGATATTTAACAACCATATGTCCAACATGTTTTGGCATATATTTGTGCTTGGCAACAGTAAAACCATTACTAGCGAGAGCATAATATTGTTTATAAAGCGAAGTATGTGGGGTTCCTAATAATATTACCGATTTACCCTTGATCATATCGTCGAATAAATCTTTATTAAATAAAATTTCAGTCGAGTCAAATGTATAATTAATACGAGCTTGGTATTTAAAAACTTTTTCGCGAATTACTTTTAAGTTGATTAAGTGAGCTACATAATACATAATTAATGGTCTAGCAGCAACTAGAACATTTTGATCATTTATATCATCAAATGAATTATATACGGGCACATACTCATTTTTGAAATATGTTGTTAATAGTAACCCAGTAAACGACCTACTTGCTATTATTGAATTTAATAACCACATAATCAATATTATTATTATAATGCTTTTCATTCTAATATTAGTAATTCTTTTAACATGCTCCAGTAAATTCATAGGTTGTTGTAATAAATAACCAATTAATGTAAACAAGGCAATTTCAAAATTTAATTTGTTTCCTGTTAACATTTTAATCAATAGTCTAATGATAATGGTTGATATTACCAAGCAAAACCAAATCTATATAAAATAATTTAGTTAAACTTTAAAATATATTGTATTTTTAGATAAATGTTTAATTAATAATTATTTTAATTATATTTAAAAAATACCTGAAAATCAAATAAATAATAAAATGAAAAATAATTCTGATTTATCCATAGTTTTGTAGCCGTTATGATTTCAAACAAATAAACATCCTTGATAAATGAATATCGAGTTATATTAAAAATTTTGTTGCCATATATTGATTCGTCTAATGAAATACCCTGTTTAAATACCGACAATAAGAAGTTAATTTTAAACATGAAAATAACACAATTATATATACTGTATATTATGTTAAATTAAAATATAAATATATTCATATTAGTTTGGTTATAATTAAATGATTTAAACAACATCTAAATTCATTTGTAATTTTGGAAAATATTTAACTTAATATTTACAATAAATATGTTAATAATTTTAAATCATGTATATTACTTACAGTCAGAGACATATGCTGATTAAATTGTACGGTTAACCCTAATTGGCATAACATGTATTGCACTAATGATAATCGGTAGTCGTATAATAATTTCTAAAAAATTTTAATATTTTATTATTAATTCTATGTTTCAACAAAATTAATAATTATATTTAAAAATCTATCATACTTCATGAAAACTAATATATATAAATCCACTATTAGTCACATTATGATTACACGTATAGTTAATTGACCTGGTAAAGTTTGTGAATTTAACAAACTGATACGAATACGGAACTTCAAATTTAAGTGAGTTTAGCATATTTAAAAGATTAACTGAACTAGGTAAATATAGAAAGTTAAAATTTTTGTAAGATAAGTAATGTATTACAAATATATAAAAGTTGTTTCAATTGTTAGTATTTATTACTTAATAAAATTATTCTCATAAATGTAAGACGAATTAATTAATTTATATTAAATATTTAATGATATTTTGTAGGTTAATAGAATTATATTAATAGGAATTTTAATTTGTAAATTGATAGTATTAATGTTTGCAATAAATGATTTGATTAAAATAATATTAAACCCAATATTAACAACACACCTATTGGATTGCATGTAAATTAGACAATATTGTTTGTTATTAATATGTATTTTTATTTTTAAAAATGTATTACAACCTATCCCAAAATATAAACAC